AAACAAAAAATTAAGAACAGCTAAAATTTTGACATAACTCGTAACACGTGATATTTCGGTATCTATTTCATAGATACCATCATCAGACGAAAAGAAAAAATCACGAACAACAAAATCATACAACTATCATAATGTATCAGCACATTTAATAGATAAGTTAATTCATTGATCATATATATAAACAATACGATTAACTAATTGAGAGCGTCCATTTTTATTGCTGTATTAGTATCATTATAAAGGTGAAAATAAATGGACACTATGAATATAGATGTATGATTTTGTTGTTGGTGGTTTTTTCTTTTCGTCTGATGATGGTATCTGTGAAATAGATACCGAAATATCACGTGTTATGAATTATGTCAAAATTTTAGCTGTTCTTAATTTTTTATTTGATATCTTGTTTCTCTTACATGTCCATTTATTTTCATTTTTATAATGATACTAATACAAGGTGGGTGTGGGTGTGGGTGTGGGTGTGAGTGTGGGTGTGTTAGGAACATAGCAAAACCCATACGCACGTGCATACCTGCACCGATACTCACACCCACAACCAAGATCAATGGCCGATTATTTTGTGATCAATCAACAATGTTTGACTCGTATTTTCTCGTTCTTTTTAAAGCAATTGAACGCATTTAGACGCAGAATCTTTATTCCGATTGCTTGTATTTATATGAGCACATCTGATATGAAAATTATTACTTATAGACTACTCTGATTTTTTTATCAGAATGACAAGTCAATTTTTTAACAATCATTAAAAAAAATAGGATATTCCTAAAGACATGCAATTACTTTGTTCTCTTTATATATGTACGAGTTGATGTCTGTTTCTATTATCTATTTCTTTACTTTTGTTCATTTATTTATTTTTTCAAAATTCAAAATGTGATTTTTGATCTATTTGCAATGTAGCATAGTTATCGCTGTATTTTTGCCTTTCATGTTTCTAATATTTGTGCGTTCTTTTATTCTTATCATGTTAAGAATCTATTACCGATTTATTTGATGATCAACTTTTCTTAGAGCTATCGAAAATTATTGCTGTTTTCATATCGGTATGGATAAGTATTTTTAAATTCTGAAGTTTTAACATTGTTAGAACAAAAAGGAAGAACAAATCTAACACTGATAAAATAGAAAATTAACTACACTTCAATCTTGAAGTCTCGTGCAATTGTTCAGAAATTTTAAGAAACCTCTTGAATTTTAGTAAATTCTTATCGATTATTCTGAAGTCTTCTGAGTTTCTGAAGCTTCATGTTTTTCCCTTGTTTAGATCTGTTTCATTACCCAAAATCATTTGTTGATAACGAATAGTTGACTTACACTGTGGCTCGTGTGTCGAGTGAAAAAAAGAAGATTTACTTATGACTACTAAACGAATGAAGTGTAGTAAGTCGGCTGTTGTAGAACATGGAGAAAGTCGCCTTCATGTATTGATAATTAAATAATAGCTAGACATATATTAATGATTGAGAATGATGACTACATTGCATAATTCAAAGAAGAATATTTGTTCTTCGTGTCGAAAGCTACTACATCGTAATGTTAATTACTCGATAAAGAAAATATCATGATTTAGAAAAACCAATATCCAAAGTTGCAATTATGTGTGTCACTATATATGTCTTTTCTTTAACAACCATTCATAACAATGATTGATAAGTTAGGCAAGTGTTTGTGCCATAGGTTCACTTTTCTCTTCTCACTTTTTTAAACACTAATGAAACTAGAAACTATTGTTTTCTATCTTTTATTATTATTATGATATGTAGTATCTGTTGGTACGAACGTATGTCTTGCATATATTATGTTTCAAGTTGAAAGATGAGAAATGACTTAGCTGTAAAGAATAACATTCCGATTTTATATTTTGTGAAAGATGATATCCTTTTAAATATAATCTTATTTTTTCTTTTTACATTTCAGATTGTTATTGATTTAGTACAAGATTTACTCCTACTATATACAAAGATAAATTTTTTCTTTGCAAAGCTTAATATAAGTATCGAGTTTATGATATTTATTAGGTGAATCAATGCCATTACAATGTTTGAAAAATTTCTTGATATTAGTAGGTCGCAAGTGTTCGGTCATATACTATGTTGAAAAACATCTCAACATATAGACACTTGAGGAATCTTGAAGCATCTGATTTCTGATTCCTCAATAGTTCATTGAATAACATAAACTCACTACTTCCACTAGAAACACTGACCATCGCAATCAGCTGCCAAACTTCATCTTTTTTTTTTTGTTGAAAAATTTGAATTATTGATATGTATAGAATGTACAATTTTTCTACAATTCAATCTGTACGAAGTACTTCTTAGATCTTATGTTCGTCTATTACTTTATCCTCATCGAAAACTTAATTCTTCTTCGATTTTGGAATTAACATAGTTACAAAATGAATAATCTGTTTCATATTTTGAGAGTTTTGTTCTGAATGCGAGTAGAAATTCAAACTCGTCACTCACTCAACAATGTAATCGATATTAATAACAAAGAGAAATAAACGATGCATTTGTTCAACATATATTAGTAATTGTAGCAGATTCATGGATTTAGATAGCTTTTTTTGACATTAGATGAAATATATCCAATATTTTACAAACATTTCAAAGTGTTTATTTTTCTGTTACTTTCTAAGAATCATGTTCGTCACATCTAGCTTAAATTTTTAAGTACTCTATACAATATTTAGTTCATCGTTACAAAATGCCATCTCTTCTTATAGTAATTATCTCTTTTGTTATTTGTTCGTCCTTCTCTCCACTCATAAATGCATATACCATAGCTGTTCTGTTTTTTTTCGACGCTTCTATCAAGAGTTTTACTCAGTGGGGTCAAACTGTACAGGACATATACTGCTCTTGTCATACATACTGTTCTACATTCTGAAAAAGCACTCTATATACAACGCACTTTACTGAGTAAAATAATACTTTTTTGTTATACAGTTAGATGAGTTGGTGAACGAGAGAGAAAAGTAACTATAAATTATTCTATTATTTAGGACACTTCATTTTTCTATTCTATTAATCAATTTCTTTTCCGTTCTATGAGAAAAAATTGAAACGTTTCTTCCGCTTAAGAAGCATCCATTAAGGACGTTCAAGTAAAGGAAGAAGAAAGAATTTCTCAAATCTGAACTGGCAAATAGAGGTTACAAGCAAATATTTCTGAACACCGAGACATCTACTATGAATATTTACCGCTTTTTTTAACATAACCTTCTACAGAATTTTGAAGCTTGGCACATTTTGCAGAGAACTTTTAAGTAAGGTATGAACAAAATCAGTACCCTGAGTATGTGGATGTGTTCTTTAAACCATTGAAGATTATATTAAAAGAGTAAGCTAATGATTATCTAAAAGAATAATATAAACTTTATTAGACTTTGTAGTGTCTAGATTTTTTATATTTATACTTTTACTTTTTTCTCTTCATTAAAAGGGAATACATTTTAAAAACATTTTCAATAAGTTAAACTTTCAATGATCGTCTATGAAACACGTGTCATTTCGGTTTTGGTTATGGGATATATGTGTAATTGAAAGTTAAGCTAAGACAGATTCGTATTGACATCTTACATTGTGCTCAGGCATATCCATAAAGTTTTTCTGAAATTTTCTTTTATACTTGATGTCTAGAATATGGTTAATAAAAGTGAATAAACCTCTACAAGAGAAGGAGTAATTAAAACATGCCATTTTTATTTGAATGTTTCTGACGAATAACTCATTGTTAGCTGTCTCTTTATCAAAAGGTATTTCTTATTCAAACAAAAAAAGTAGGACATTTCGTGTTTTTTTTACTAATACATTATTTAATAAAAGTTCATTATTTATTTCTATTCTTTTGTCACTAGAATTTCACGCTTCTTTTACTTTAACCATTAAACTATAATTGAAATTGTACATCTAATGAAGTTTCTCCAATATATGAATCAAATTTACTTAAATATTCTCTAGAAATATCTGTTTTATCAAACTTAATATCCTACAAACTGAAGATCTGAAGGAGAAAATATTTAATGTGATTCATTCTGACAAATCGAGTTTCTGTTTTTTCTACATTATTGATAAAAGAGAGATATACAACTTGCCCTCGCAAAGATACTGATTCATTGTATTCTTTTCACTATTTTATATTATCGAATGAAATGAGTGTCATGACACTGTTGGGTATTAATAATATCACTTAAAAATAGTTATTTGTTTATCGTCTTTTTTGATTTTTCTTCTATAAATATCATATATATATATATGTCAGCGTCCAAACTGAGATTACGTCCAATCTCAGATTTGCCTAGGCGAATGTCGGATCCGAGATTGGACACGTCCAATCTTGGATTCACGCAATTCTGTTCATTAAAATATCAATTACCCTTTAGACAGACCTTGGATTCAAACTTTGTTTTGAAATTATGTTCACACAATGCCAGTTTGTTTGGCACAATTGTCATTTGGCAGATTTGAATAAAATTTTAGGAGTTATGAATAAATTTCTAGAGAACAACAACTTTTGTGAAAAACTTTTATTACATTTTTGAGTCTAAATTTAGCTTCTTCCTAAATGCTTGTAATACTTAAAACGGCATTGTGTGCACATAATTTCAAAACAAAGTTTGAATCCAAGGTCTGTCTAAAGGGTAATTGATATTTTAATGAACAGAATTGCGTAAATCCAAGATTGGACGCGTCCAATCTCGGATCCGACATTCGCCTAGGCCAATCTGAGATTGGACGTAATCTCAGTTTGGACGCTGACATATATAATGAATAATTTATATGATAGTCATTTAATAACCTTTTTTCTTTTTCTTCTTATCTGACTTTTTATCGGCGGTGAGAAAAAAAGGTATGCATACTTTTTTTCTCGTCGATATAGAGAAAAAAAAATATTTTAGAGCCGAAAAAAAAACTAAACTATTTAACTTTTTCATTAGATTCATTAGTAGACCATATTCGAATTCGAATTTCATTAATATGTCTTGGATAGTTGAAGAAAGTGATAATACATCTGCTGTTAATCTTAATGGTGATACTATTACATGTACAAAAGATGGATATTATGGTAGTCCAATAAATGTTATGTACAGCGACTCAGCTAGTGAAAATGGACAATATTTTTGGCAAATAGAATTTGAACAGATGTCAGAACAAGGAGGTGCATCTGTGGGTTTCACAACAGACGATAGTTTTAAAAGTGGATGGTACCTCAAAGGCATGCAATATTTAGGTAATTTATCTGATGGTAGTGGACTCTTGGTATCATCATTTGGTGATCGAATAAAAGAAAATGATAAAGTTGGTCTATTATTGCAATTGAGTGATGCAGATTTAAAAATATATATTTTTCATAATGAACGACCATTAGGTTTAGCATTTCATGTTTCGTCACCATATCCAAAACCATTGTATCCTGGTACGCTTCTATAAAATTTACAAATAGATTTTATTCATTTATTTATATTTTTAAGTTGTTAGTTTCAGTTCAAATGGTAAAGTTAAAATCAGTCGTGCACAACAAACACCTACATCATTAGAACGTTCACCAGAAGAGTTCACTGGTGTTGAAGGCAATTGGAGAATCATTGATTATCCATCGCATCCAGAATGTATTGATTGTAAATTTGCAATATCAAAAGAAAGTCCAAATGTGTATGGTCTTCATGCACATGTAGTTAATTCAATGAATTGTTCTTTGGAATATGATCCAGCAAATGATCAATGGAAAAGTTCTCCTATTCTGAGAACACGGAAGGGGGGCCCACCAGAAGCGATGAAAAAAGAAGACTTAATATGCAAGTTAATCGCCGATATTCAAGGTTTGGAAGCTCAAGGTGAACAACACTTAGTGATTCGAACGAGTGGTGGTGATCAAGTTCGTTTAGAACGTTTTACTGTTCCAGCACCACAACCAGTTACGCAAAATATATTCAATTAATTAAGTCAAAATATCAACAAACAATTTATTTATCATATAGAACACATGCTTGTATAGCGCTAATATTTTTTTTCACGGTTATTTAGCAAAGCGATTTCTCCTTGAGAAAAAAACATTTATATAAATAATCGAGCAATAAAATATAATTATAGAAAGAATAATAAAAAAACCTATATATATATTATGTTCTTTTATGAATGTTTTTATAATTTTCGAGAGTGAGTATAATATTGAATGTCGACATACTTTCTAATATATAAGAGTAAAGGTATCCCATCTTGAAATAACATCTAAGGCTATTTATTCTAGATAATATTACTTTTATATGAATCTGTCAACTTTTCAAGCACTGTTTATGAAAGAACATGCTACAGTTAAATTTATAATACTTTTGTTTTCTTTCAAAGAAATGAATATTATTCTTTTTAAGTAGACACTCAATAATATTTGAGAACATTTGAAATTAAACATTTTTGTCACATGCTGGAGATATGATTCAGAGAACACATATTAATAGTAAATGAACTTGATTATTTGAGTATAAAACTTTATATGTGAGTAGTATGTGGTAATTGCTTTGGGAAAGTTTTGATAATCTGTAGTTGTCTTTTTCTTGACGTTTCTATCTGCTGTAGTTTTTCACTATTGAACAATAATTATAGTTTTTGTTTTTGTATAACATTTCAATAAAATTCAAAATTTGAAAGTCAACATATGCCTACTTTTTATCAATAAGATCATCTTTGAATCGATTCAATGAAATATATCTTAGTTTTTCATATACTATCCTTATTCTCGTGTGATGCTGTATGTAGTTGAATCACATGTCGGAGGTTAGGTAAGAATTAAACTTTTGTCAAACTTGTGACTAATCTTTTGTTGTGGTCATTTATTGTTTTTGCATAATATTTATATGTAAAAACTTTTTTTTCCAATTAGATTATTCTTCACCTATTGAGTTAAAAATATTTTGGCTTTATTAAATAGTTTAGTATGTTGATGGCTAAACCTTCACAGTAAATCTATTCAATTTAGAATCGAATAAAAAGAGAAGATTGTAATTTGTGTTATCATTAACCCACCCCACACCCACACCCTTATTTTCATCTGTTCTATATTTATATGATACACCGATGACAGTTTGATGATTAGTTTGTGCTGTATATTTGCTTTTATCGCTATTTTTAGTAGATGAAAACAACATGTTTTTTTTATAACCGGTTCCGATATATAAACAATCTTGAAATTGCAAAAAATCTTTTTGCATACTTTTCTCGTGGTGATATTACAGTAAAAGAAAAAAGAAAATACAAATAATTTTATATTTTTTAAAACTTTTTTTGGCTAAGAATTAAAACAACTTAAAATATTAAGTTTTGTTCTACATCGTTAACATAATCATATAATTTTACTAGAATTTATAGTAGATAAATATTTTAGCATAGTATTAAATTTTTTCTGAATAATTAATGATGCAGTAGTGTCAAACGTGAAATTTGAATCCAATTATTGAAAATCTATTTCAAATATTCAATTATTGAAAACTTGAAGTTCAACTATTCAACTATTCAAATATTCATCTTTTGGTTATTTGAAGTTCAACTATTCATATATTGAAATAGTCATTTTTTTCGGTGTGTGGGTGTAGGTGCGAGTGTGGGTGTGGGTGGGTGTGGGTGTGGGTGTGGGTGTGGGGTGTGGCTGTGGGTGGGTGGGTGTGGGTGGGTGAGTGAGTGTGGGTGTGGGTGTGAATAAACAAAAGAGCAACACCCACACCCACCCACACCCCACACGCCACCCGCTCTCACACCCACCCACACCCACACCCCACACCCCACACGCCACCCACACCCACACCCACACCCCACACGCCACCCCACCCACACCCACACCCCACTCCCCACCCCCAGCCACACCCACAGCCACACCCACCCACACCCACCCTTAAATTTATAGCACATTTAGGTACTAATATACGATTAACCTGTTTTGCAACTATTACTTTTGATAAAAATTATAAACTATGTGAATATGATGAACAAGTACGAAATCCTGGATTGACATTAGATCCACGTACAGATGAAGAACGTTAAGCAAAAATAAATACGATATGTAATGTTACACAAAGATTCTGTACTGAAACATTACAACAATATTCACGTTTCAATGATTGTCAACAATTTTTAAGAACACAAATACCTTTTGGTTCATTTGATAGAGCAGATCAAGGAAATGTTGTTTGCCGTTTTATTCATACATATTTTGTACCTTTATTACCATCTATACATTGTCCACATGTTGGTCCAACTGGAGGAAGAGCATGTACTGATAAAACAATCGACTTTTATTATAATCAAACAAATTTTCTGGCTTGTGCTCATAGACAATAATGATAAAATAAAATCATGTTCTTTTTTTTTCAATTTAAAGTTTAAATAATAAATTGATATCATTCATAAATAATTACTCGAAAAATAAGATGTGTAAAGTCATAAGAAGGATGTAAAACTGATTCGGTAATTCGACTTGATAACTGTGCTTCTTTATTAACTTAACATTCGAATACCTGTTAATCAGTGGCGTAGCCAGGGGTAGGGCCATTGGGCAATTGCCCATAGCTCCAAAAATTATTGCCCATGAATTTATTGAGCTATATTAGTGCTTGAACCGTTATTGCCCATAGATATTTTTGAAATCATAACGGTTGCCATTAGTCGCCCCTAACTCAAGATAGTTCGGCTGATGAATTGCTCATGACTCAAGAATTCATGGCTACGCCACTGCTATGTACAGTCGATATTGTTGGTGTATTTTAGTTACACTGATTAGAGTTTTTATTTTGAATATCTATCAGAAATTTACTAAACGAGTATGTTTGAGAAAATTTTATTATTTCAAAGGATGTTTGAAAATGAATTCTAACTAACTCTTTCGAATTTCGGCGAATCTTTTAAAATTCGAAGAAAAAGAAGTCTATTGTACAATTCGTGTTTCTTACAGATATAAATATTCTAGTAAATAGTTCTAATTTTTACTGGAAATGGTGATATTTTTATTTTTATTTATGTTTGAATGCTGAACACAACTGCTGCCAATTGGCTGTCTCGTGAAAATTTTATTGTAAGTTTCATTTTTGTACAATATATCTTTTAACTGCATGATTTCGAATAAAATTATTTTAGTTTTTTTTTATTTATTCATGGAGGGTAAACTTCTGTTAAAAGACATACGGTAGAAAAAAATATCAATCCCTGCTCGTTCATAACATTGTCTGGAAGAGTCATCTATAAATATATGATGCAACATCATCCTATTAATTTTTTATGTGTCTAGTCTGTTCTAGATTATAGTATGAATCATGTCACGTTCCCATTGATAGATATGTCATATGAGAGACATCTTTTTTTTTGCGTCTTTCTCAGCTAAACCAAATGTGCAATGTATGTGATCGCTCCCTTGGAGAAACTAACCAACTTTTTTCCTTCCTCTCGTTGGAATTGAAGCTTGACTTTGTTGTTGTTTTTCTTCTGTATATATTTGACAAGAGCGGCTTTTTTTCTTTCTGTCCACAGTAGCGCAGACTTGAGCTCGATAACAGTTATTGCAATAAATCATGAACATTTTCAACAAATTTTTTGAATATATTAGATTTTTCATTTGTTCCGTTTTATGAGTAGAGAGGGGTGATCATGAATCGTGCTATCATTCGTAAGTTGTACAATTTATAGATTAACCGAGTCAGCCAGAATATTCTACGAGCATATTTGCACGAAATACCCAAAATTTTATTCAAATGTATATGTGTAAGACAAAGTCAGATAATGTTTTCAAAAATATTGAGGTAAAACTTTTCGATTAGCTTTATACTAATTAGAAATCATCTTTATTTGTGTGATTGATAGTGTAGAGGGCTATATGATATAATCACGTCTCTTTCTGAATAAATACTATGATCCTATTGATGACATATGAGAAAGATTACTCAATAAAAGAAAAGCAAATATACATTTATTTTCTCTATCAAATATTCTTATCATATGACATCATTTAGTTAAAAATAAATATTATTAAATTCCCTATTCTCTAACAACGACACTTGTAGATAGTTACCAAAACTACAAACGCATCTACTTTGAAATTTTTAATTTTGGTTATTTAAACAGATGGCTTTACACAACTTCAGCTTAGCAAAAACATGCGGAATAATTGGCTACGGTGCCTTTTTTTGGAGTTTAGGTGTATTGGCCATTCGTCGTGGCGGAACATATATGTTTCAAACTAATTTAAGTCGAAGTCTTACAATGGCTGCTACATTACCAGCTGCTTACGCAGTAATACGTCTTACTGAAGCAGTATTTTCTCTTAATGCGCAAGACACACTTGCCGCAGTGGCATTGGGTACTGGTGCTGCAAGTATTCTTGATGGCATCGCTCACATATGGTTTCCAAGTGCTTATGAAAGTCCAGAGTTGCAGAAAAAAAATCCACTGGCTGCATGTACCATTTCCAGATATGGATCTGGCTGGTTACTCTTCTTTGTTGGCGCTGCTCTAACAATGCTCGTATTCATGTAATATTTTAATTCGTTAAAGGATATCTATATCTTTGATGCCTTATTGCATGTCACTTGTCTCGTATTACATATTAATCATGACCGTAGATGACAGAATCCTGATATTCGATTTTCTTCCATGTAGAACTTTGAATAGAATATCCATTGATGCTATACAAACATGAATACAAGTATACTTCTAACCTTGTAGATGTGTTCAACAACTAAAATTTTTTCATATTTTACTCTCAAGCTATGCTTTTAGTGTTCGTTGTAATTTGCTTAATACCATAAAAATAAATAATACGTTAATCATATTTTGAATATTTCACTTCATTCAAAGTTTCGAATTGAGATATAGAATAACATTTGCATACTCTTTCCTTAAGTCTTTTACAAAGAAGATCACTACAATTTTCTTACTTGTTTATGAATAATATATTCATTCAGGATTTCCTGTAGTTAGTCATCAGCTTATTTTTTCTGTTGGAGATATTTAATGAATGTTATCTATGCGACGGATACTACAATGAATATTTTATGGAGGGTGTGGGTGTGGGGTGTGGGTGTGGGTGCGAGTGTGGGTGTGTGGGTGGGTATGGGTGTGTTAGGAACATAGGAAAACCCAAACGCACGTGCATACCTGCATCCACACTCACAACCACAACCAAGATCAATGGCCGATTATTTTGTGATCAATCAACAATGTTGAATAAGACATGATACTATGCAGTGAAACAGCCTCTTTCTAATGGAGAAAACCGCAGCTCTATATCTTATTCCTGTCAAAAGTTATTCGCAATTTAAGACTGGCCGGTAACTTTTGGACCATCCCGTACATGCTGTAAATAGATGTTTTTTTTATGCACCGTATTATCGTCGAACATCACCTGGGTATGAGTGCGGGTGTGGGCTGTAAGGGTGAAGCGTACTTGAAAAGAAGACCCACACTCAAACGTATACACGCACACGTAAAGACCTACACCGACACCTACCCAACGCCCAGGTAAGAGAAATATCCACGAAGTATTCAGAACGCCATTTTTATGGGACATCCGTTATAACTGCTACGACAGAAAACGAATGTAGCCAACTTTTACGAGTTCGGATTCCGTTCGGACAGACTAAATTTTAAATAAACCGGTTGGAGATTAGTTCAGGTCGACTTCGCTCTCAGTTTCAAATCTCTAATCTCTAATCTCACCGGGGTGTGGTGTGAGTGTGAATGTCGTCTTCTATTCAACCACAGCCTAGAAACATTTAGTAGAAGGTTGTAAACAAAATTTAAAATAACAACACATTAGAAGAGAAATAATTCTCCAAATATGCCACATTATAATTGCAAGTGTTTGTTTTTTAATTTGTGAATCAGAGCAACTTCTCAAACTCTGATTTAGAACAAAATTCATTCATTTGAAGTTTCAATCTAGAAAACCGTAATTTATTATTTGGTAATCATTTCAAATTGAAAACTTAAAGTCAATTGTTGAACTTTTCCATTTAAATGTTTGGGTAGTCAGCTTTTTGAAATTCTAATTTAGATAGCGTATGTGTGTTTGAAGTGATAGTTGAAGACTTGAAATCAAAGTTTTCAAGTTTGACAATATCTATATGAGATGTTATTACTAGGATCAGAAGAAATTCGTATAAATTCTCTTCACACTAATCCTTCATAGCTTTTTCTTTCTAAGAAAATATAACTCATCTAAGTCTACAAACTTAGAAAATTCTTACAGTGTGATTCCTTTGGCTAGCCAATTTTTCTCGCGGAAAACCTATTAGTAACCAATTTTAGAATAAAAAAAGTAGGTAAGTTGAAATATTAAAATATATTATTATGCTTAGTTTTCCATAGTGTTTCGGATGAGCGATTGTTCAAAAAAATTTGATAAATCGATAAAAATTGACACGCAAAACGCTACAATATGAAATATTTTTGTATGTGCCGGCCCTGTTGAGCCATGCATAACGTGTTCATGAAACGTTTCTCCAGAAGTGTCAATCTGATCTTTCAAAGAGCAATGAGATCCACCGTCTTAGATCTTGCTTTTGAACTTAATTCTTGTATAATTCGATGTCATTAGATCTTGTCTATAAAATTCTGAAAACCATAAAGTTGTATCTCTTTACAGTCAAAAGTTACTCTAAAAATACCCCTTTTTTCTATAGGGTTGGAAATAATATTTTGCGCGGGGGGTAACACAATAATTTCAAATAGGGTATGTAATGAATTTTATACCAAATGAAGGCCCGTCCAAACTGGGGTTTGTCAATGCTAAAATATTTGGGTTAGGAAAACTTTTGTATGTTGAACTGTCAAAATTTGTAGTATTTTACCGAATACAAGTATCAGAAAAATTATTCATGAGATAAACTTCGAACTAAATGTGATGCAAAATTGCTTATTTTTTTATCATTTTATAAATACAATCAATAATGAGTATGACGACCATTTGCGTTTTTTATCTCACGAAGTCAAGTTGAATATGAGCATAGAAAAGTTTCAAATAACTAGGTATCTGTTTTCATGTTTGCTAAAACATTTGAAAGGTGCATTTTGAGCGTGTCTTTAAGATAACGATTATGTTCAGTTTCTGATAATACTTTTTTTCTCAACTTCATCTTTGATTATTGTTCCAATATGTTCTGCCACATTGAGATCGGGTGAATTTTCTGACCAGATATCATTACCCCAAAATCTAACATCGTTGTCTTGCAGAAAATGTTGCGTCTTGTATGCTCGCATAGAGGGTGCTTTATCATGGACAAATACAACTTCATCTGGATCAATAACATTTTCTTTGTTCTTTAAGAAAGGAAATACATTTTGAGTCAAAATTGCATCACGAAAATATTGGCTGGTCCAAGGTTCACCTTTGTCTTTGATCATCCAGAGTAGCTTCTTAGCAGTAAACATAATAAAAATCCCAATATATGGTTAATGTTTCACCATTTCACTATATCTTTCATTGTCTTCAATGTTCTCGACACTTCTTACCCATATTCGACCATTCTGATAATTTGGTCTACGAACAACTCACACATAAAATTCATCAGATGATGCGAGATGATGAAAGTCCTCTTCGGTTCAATCTTTTAACCAATCGCACAGCCATAATCGATCCGATATATGAGTTTCGGATTTCAACGGTTTGGGAATAACATGGAATAGTTTTAATCCTTCTCTATGACGATAATTATTGATTGTTCTTGGGACGACGTACTCCTTTTGCTTTTCTGCAATTTCCTTCGCCACAACAGAACAACTTTTTCTTAGTCGGTCACTCGCTTGAAGAATGATGTCTTGACTTGCTTGTGATAATTTAAGTTTAGGATCAGCATTTGACTGATCAACAAAGCATTGGTCATATGATTTTTCCCACCAGTCTTTAACAAACGGAATCGAGCGATGGACTTTCTTCGCGACCCATTCTGTATTTATGAATGTTGTACCAGCATCGTGAGCTTCACGAAAGGCAATGCATTTGATTCTGTCAATTATTCTCTATTGTTCAGTATCATAAGTACCAGCCATTTTCAAGTAATCAAGTTTAATGGATTCACCAAAAGGATAAATTTGTTTTACTGAAATCTATTGATCAGGATATGATCTTATATATTGTTTCACAAGCTATATAAACTTTTCTGTTCTATAACTTTCTAAGAGAAGAAAAATAAAAAAATCTTTTTTATGTACCGCTACCACGAGGAACAGATTGTAGAACGCAACAGGACAATCATATCTTCTGAAATAAAGATACATCCGATGATCATTAAAACAATACTCTTTCAAATTTATTCAAAGAAAATTCCTAGCGTTTTTTGATTTCAGAAGTCACCAAGGTTACATTATAATGATTGCATTCTACACTGTAAAAAAATAGGTTTATTACGAAACCTGTGCCCGAGTGAAGATCCATTAAGGTTTCGTATCGATTTACGAAACCTAAAAAGGTTCAACAAATCATTTTCCGATGTTTTTTAGGTTCGGTAAATCGATGCGAAACCTTAATGGATCTTCGCGCGGGTACAGGTTTCGTAATAAACCTTTTTCTTTTTTATAGTGTACAAACTTTTATAAAGTTCGAGAGGTTCAGCTACGAAAGTTCGAATAATCCCTATTTTTTAGCATGAATAAGTCCCATTTTCGACGGGCTTTCATTTGGTATAAAATTCATTATATACCCTATTTGAAATTATTGTGTTACCCCCCCCCCCCCCCCCCCGCGCAAAATATTATTTCCAACCCTGTAGAAATGTTAATAACACGGTGTCTTGGACATTTGGCAGTAAGTTGGAACATAGAAAAGTCAATATAAATGATTTTATGTTTTAAAGTAAAGTTTATTTATCATCTCCAAAACCTTCACTTCATTATGTGATGTAAAAAGAATAGACGATAGCTAGCTGCTATCGTATATGTTTTTATTGATTGCATATTAATGAACAATATGCATAGTCAAAATCTAATAAAAGTCTTTATGCAGGGGTCGGATATGTATCCACTTGTTGGCCAAACCATACACATGCATATCCTTTATAAACACCAACACCCATGGCTTTCATTGGTGTATTTTGAAAAGCACCTTGTTGAATCATAACAGCATTATGTCCTGGACTGTTTTTCCAACTATTAACAGCGTCTATTGCATTAACTGTCATTGTTTTTCTTACATTTTGTGCATAACCATATGAAATTTCGAAGCCATTAAATTTATAATTACTTATTTCAGATGGTTTACTCCACATTAAGTGTGCTTGTGCATGATCCGATGTATATCTAACAGGTTTCCATTTTCCTTTATTACTCCAGCTATGCATATTTCCACCATTAACATCTGGATCATTTTCAATAATATCAATAGCATGTGTACGAGCAACATAAGCAAGATTAATAGATGGTTGAAGCAATGGTAAACCATGTTGTTGACGATGATTATTAATAAGTGTAAATATTTCTTGCTCTTTTGCGTCCATGCCATGAAATAAGGATTTTTGTTCTCCTTTAACTTTTAATTAGAAGAAAGAAAGTAACAAATGATACAACTAGTCTAAATCAGTTAATAGACTATTGGCCCTAGCATAGATGAACTATTTGTCGACAATACGTTAGGACTTTATAATAGTTATTGTTCTGATGCTCTTAGTCTACGTACTATTGAACTAAGCAGCATGTGCATACTACTGTAAGATTTTCTAGGTTTTGATACATTATATATCGTTTCACTGATACTTGGTGGAAAGAGGAAACGTGGCTTCGAGGATGCTTTCATAAACTAACATCTTTTCTCTGTAGAATGAACAACCATTCCTATTTTCACCTACCCTGTTTCAGTCAGCACTGTCACAGTCTATCGCTGATACTATTGTGGTCATCATAATCATCGCAATCATTATCACGATCTCTAGCACCATGTTCATCGTAATCACAACTTCTATAAAAACTGTTATCGCGCTCAATGTCACATCTACCACTGTTGAGTTAATCTCATCTTCATCATCATCATTGGTAGCCCATAGTTCTTGCAAAGAGTAGTACTGAGTAAGTATGAGAAATGTGATCAAACTACAGAATTACACATCGTCCTTATTGAAATTATTATATTCCAAAGTAAAATCGCATTTATATTAATGTGTAACACGGAGAAAGCCAGACAAAAAAAGAAGACAAGGGATTTTTTTATACTAGGAGGGTCGTTATATTTTAGGCACTTTTTCAATTTATTCATGAACCGATGCTTAGATTGCAATACATTTGATTTTATATATTAATTTTACCTTTCATAGTGTTGGTTTCCAAATCAGATGAATATTCAACATTTTTGCAATTGATTATTGATGAACAATAAACAAAACAGAAAATTAACACAGTTACCAAATAATGCATCTTGCAATATTGTCGCTGTTAGAACTAGAAGTTGTCTTTCCAATGATCATGCAGACAACAAAAACGATACGTTTTTATAGACTTTCTTTAAAGATGTAGTTTCGAATTTCGATTCATAAATCCTCAATATTTAATTGAATGTATTTAATAACAAATAAGGATGAAACCAATATTTCTATTTTCATTATCGAACAATAGTCAAATTTCAAACAGAATTTCAATTTTCACTTTTTTTATTTCTGAGAAGGTGCAGGTGTGCGCGTATATGTGAATGTATTCAAGAGTTAAGCTACTCCTACACGCCTGTACTAAGCTACGAGTCTCATCAGGCAACTTGGGCTCTATATCATAATTTCGACTTACGATCGAAAAAAAACAAAGATAAGCGTGAGTATAGGTTTTCTTTTCACTCACACTCGCATTCTTCTTTTTCTAGTTCAAAAACTCACATTCAATTAATATTTATTGAAAATAATCATAAGATTTAAATCATTAATACAATCGCATAAAATGTTTGATTCATTCTACTTGAAACATGTTTACAATTATTTTTTGTTTTTAGATCGATCGAAAAAGCTTGTTAGCGCAGCCCCTTCGGGGCTGAAATGTGGAACTCACGTATATTCTTCAGCTTCATAATACTAATATGCAATGTAAATAGTATAAAATCACGAAGTTTTTAATTTTCTGACAGGCGCCCTTATTTTTCGTCTTCCTTGTTGCTATTCGCTCAGTATTTTTCATTTTTAACCCTGCTTTTTTTTCTTTAATTTTACATTTTTATTACAAGAAGTATTGAATTATATGCCGAATGAAGCTGTTATATATATATGTATATGTATATCCCTTATTTTAAATCTGGTTGCTAAGGTCTGTAATGGAGGCCTACATTACTATGGTCTGTAATGGGGGCCTGTCTGTAATGGGGGGTATGTCTGTAATGTTCTCTTCCGTTGCTATAATCTGTAGGGTGTGGGTGTGGGTATGGGTGTGGATGTGGGTGGGGTTGTGAGTGGGGTGGGGGCGCGGGCGTGGATGTCGGTGTGGATGTGTGGAGAAATGTTCTCTACAAGCACACCCCACTTGATACTAATGCATCTTTATTTGGTGGTGCTAAACTATAAGGAGAACGATCACTGCCTTTTCTACCTGTTTGATCTATCATCAGCAGGTTCTTCTTTTTCACACGCTGTAATATTCTTCGACATTTCGCCAATTGATTCCAATAGGCATCAGTATCTAAATATGTATACAGACGGGTAAAAATTCAAGTAGTCTAGTATGCATGCATTTGAACTTTAATAAAAATATAGAGAAATGATATTAAAATAATATTTTCATTTCTTCGATTTCAAGACGTTGTTTAGTCTTTTTCCATCTTAAATTCCAGTCAGAATTACCATAGTAACGAACAGTACGCAATGATATATTAAGAAGAGGTTTTTTTCTGAAGATTCTTATGTATATCAATATATGAATTTTTTTTCTTTTTTCAATAGCTTTTAATACCGGACGTAATATATATCGATGACTGTCGTTCACAATTCGGTGTCTTTGTTTATGTGATTTTTGTTGACCAACTAATGATTCTTGTGTTCCATCCCATCGTTGATACCAATATCTAACCAGCATACCATCACTGCACATATTTTCCATTTTTTAGCTAATGATTTAAAACCAAAACCACGTTTATGTGATCGATATTCTTCTAGTATATATTGCTTGAATGATGACGTACATGTATCACGTGTGGGCATTTTAAAGTGTTGTATGTAGTAAAAGAAAACGTAAATGAAAAATATGATACGAAAAAAATAGTTGCAAGTGAAAATTTTTTTTGTGATGGAAACGTATATTTGTTTAAATTTAACTAAAGAATATATATGAGTCATCTATACATAATCGATCTACTAGAATATGTTCTATACTACACATTTATGCGTTCTCTACTAAGTTATTATTTGTACATAAAATAAAAAGACAAAAAAACGAATTGCATAATTTCAATTTGCCTTGACTGTATATATGACCAAAGTTAGGATGTGGGTATGAAGGGATGGGTGTAGAAAAAGAAAAGATACCCCATACTCACAGCTACACACATCCTCTAATACTGTTACTGTGTGATATTTTAAGAAACAACAAAAAATATTTTATTATTAGTACAATGATTTGGAACGGCAGTTACTTTCACATTTTCTCAAATACGAAATAAATTGTGCACGATGAGCTGGATGAACCATCATAGTGAATAGACATAAAGCAATACCCGACGGAAGTGCAGGACAAATTTCGCTGGGAGTGGATGTTAAAAGAGTGCCCCGTTCTGTACGATAATAAAAACGCTCTCCCATGTCGAATCCAAACAACTCTGGACCCATAAATGACAAGTAACAAGAATCATCTGAATCTTTGTTGCATTTAATTGACAATTCTTCCATGTGATCAGTAAAATACGAAGATCCATACGCGCCTACACGTAGATTTAAAGTTGCTATTGATTGTGATCGTGGATGATATAATCCAATGAGGACAAGTTTAACGGAATAGTAATTTGATGTTTCATTCATATAAAAGTAATAAGAATGAGAGAAAATATAATTAATTTGAGAAACAATATCAGGATGAACGGATTGATTTTCATGTGTAAAATCTTCCCATAAGCGTAAGACGTCGTTTGCTGTGGTTTCACTCAATTGAATGGTGACATCAACTAACTGCTCGAAGTAAATTGACTCATTCTCAGTCTCGTTTTTCAACTTTATTAAAAACAACAGTTTCCAACTTGTTACTGTGTTAATATCTCCAGCATACTGTCCATAACGAGCTAAATACATGACTCGCCAAAATGATTGTTGATTTATAATTATATACCAATTTTTACACACAGATTTCATGGAATAAAAATCCAGTGGATCAGTGATATTTAGGAGAATCTTTTTTGTTACAAACCCAGGTAACTGTTGAAATAAACGATAATTATGAATTTCGAACTGGATACATGAACGTGCCAATGGACGCTTTTGTTTGTATTTCTCGTTCAGAATATCTATCCAATTATCGATAACAAAATTAGCTAGCCATGGTGGACTCTTAGTGCAAATATGCTCTAATCCCATGAGAATATTACTATCAATAGACATGCTACTAGCTGCTTGATAAACACATACTATTTGTTCGTCTTTTGTGTACTGGAAAAATTTGTTTCGATTAATAACTATATCTTGTTTACTATCTTGAGGAGTCATAACGAACTCAGCTTTATCTGGCGAACGCTCACCATGTAATTTTTCATTATAACGAATAAATAAATCGCATAGCTCTTTATCACCTTCATCAACTGGATCGGTAATGGAAAGTAAGTGTCGATAGTCTTTGGCTGTTTTTTCCCATTGATGTGGATAGTAGAGCATATATTTTTTTAATATTAACAAAAGCTTTTTCGAAGCGTAGAACAGCTGATCATGTTTTCCATACCATCGTACCATTGATTCATACCAACTGTTCAAGTTATTCAGTATATAGGTTGTGTATGATGTTGGCGATCGTGAAACGGCAAAATCAAATATTATATCGTTCTTAAGAGAACAATGGACATATAAATCTAATGTATCACCATTTAAAGTCGGAATGATCATTTCAATGCTGTTAATCATTTCATCATGTTTGCGTAGCCATTCTAATAAATATGTTGGGGAACTGATAATATCCCAATCTATATGTTTGTTGTTTTCATCTCGATAGTTGGGCAAAAACTTAATAACAGCACGGGATCCAATTAATATTGCATTACGTGATTGAGTTACTGGAGGAATTTCCTGAAGAACAGATATTATTTCTAGCTTGTCATGTGTTCGACGAAGTTCCAGTTGTCTTAATGGTACTAACATAATGTTTTGTAGCTTACAGAGAATTGGTTTAACTGCAAAACAAAACGGTGAAACTGCTTCTATAGTCGCTTCACTGAGCCATATTTATTTTATCACTCATTCAAAAAAAACCTGTACGTGCAATTTTGTTGGTATGCAATGTTCAAGACTTTGAATGTAATAGAGATGATAAACGCAATTATAAAAACATTCTGTTTTTCTTACTCTGACTAATGCATTGCATAAACTATTGTGAAAAAACCCTTTTCTTATCAAACGAGTGGTGGAGATAAAACAATCCGATAAAAATAGAACACCACCTGTGCATGTAGTAGTCCACCTATTTGGGCAGAGTCAGAAAAATGAGAAATTCATGCTTTCATTATATAATTTTTACGTTATCAGAAGCATGACGCGAGACGTTTTCTTAATTATTCCTTCAAAGACGTTATCAGTTGTTTTATTCGAGCGAACTACAGTTAACGTTCTGAAAAAATAAACGCCGAAAAAAAATATCCTCATTTTCAAAAACGTTATTCCGTCACGAAAAACGTTATTCCATCACGATGGTTTTGTTAGCTGTGTGACGAAGCTATCATACATTTTGAATTATTATTTTTTCTATATATAGCTTGTCATCTAATTTATAACTGACCTATAGAAAACTTATTCGTCACATTTGTAGTTGAGTTAAAGTTTTCAGTTCTTTAGGCAACACTCAAACCATTTTAACATTTTTGATTGATTATTCTGTCACAGGCATATATTTTAATCATAAAAATGTAAAAGAAAGGCAAGATCTAATGAAAACTTTATCTTATGTAGGGCAACCTGGCTTATATTTGTGTTTGCAGAATATCAGCATGTGGCTATGGCTGTGGCTCTGACTGTGGATGCAGATATTGGTACTCTCGTACTTAAAACCGACACACACACCCCCACCCCAATCTTTTTTAATCTGATTTTTAGGCCATTTTTTTTACATGAGAAGTTTCAATAAGTCCATTGAACTATGAAAAATTATAAAAATATCAAAAAATAAGAGTAATTTTATTAGTGGTATATGATAAAAAGTCAGTTATTGAGGAAGATGAGCATTTAATCCTAGTACAATATATCGACTCAGTTTCAACTGTTCGCGCAATTTTGTCTGAATATTACTTGGCTTGCTGAGCGATATAGGAACCATGTTTTAATGATATCCAAGTCAATCAGTACACTGCGCTTTATACAATCACTGCAATTGTTGTGAATGGTATTGCTTTAGAAAGTGTTCAGAATGAAAATAAACTCTAATCAGAGATAAAATCGACTCTTCGAAGACTAATGTTACATGATTACGAAGATGCAAACTACATGGATACCTTATACACCTAGTAAATGCTTATCTTCCTTAATAGTTGACGTTTTGTGATATACCACTGATAAAATTACATTTTGTTTTTGCTTTTTTAGGTTTTTTTTCGTAGTTCAATGAAATAATTGGAACTTACGCTCTTTTTACATAGCCTAACTTTTTATATTCAACTAAGAAAGTTGTTTCCGATCTTGAAGAATAATTTGCACAAAGAAAATTACTATCATAAATGTATTTCGTTATATATAGGATGTAGATGAAGAGAAAACTCATACCGATACCCTCATCTCAGGAATGCAAATGTTGTTAGTGAAGTTTTGCTGTAGGACTCCATCTTTTCCGAAAAGCAATCTTTTCCAATATCATTCTGAAACTTTTCCACATAAAGATTTCAGTAAAACTAGCTTGTATGACAATTTCAAAATTTTTGAAGTCAGTTCTTTCGAGATATGGAACTGTTCTATTGAACAGTAAATGTTGTTTTTTATTTTTCGAAGATTCATTTCTCCGAAATATTTAGTCAGAAAATTATGGAATTTTTCCTTTAACAAGACTAATGGAGGTATTGATATAGACAGTATTTTAGATCAAAATTCGAAAAGATAGTCTTGCTGCAAATGAGGAGTCCTATTATCAAACTTCACTTAACACATTTCACTGTCTCAGAAATAGACCATAAAGACAAACTGCTTTTTAACGATAGTCATGGTTCACTAAGCTCTACAAGATGCAGTCAGTTCCAGACCGAAATCGAATAGACACATGTGAATGTTTACTCATCAGTTTCAACAGTTGTACCATTATCTATTAGGTTATTCTTCAAAATTTATTTGATAGATAAATTAAACGAAACATTAGACTAGAAAAAAATCTATTAGGAAGATTATTTACCACTTAATGATGTCTTTTAATTGCTTGGTTCGTTTTACTAGTAGCAGAGAGACGATTATGACTAGGACGTTAATTTTAGTCTTATATTGTGCGATAAACTTAAAGATAATATGTATATTTAAAAACGAAAGAACATGAAACCTTAATTTAAAACAAAAAAAGAAAAATAGATAATTTAATTTTTTTCACTGAATAAACAAATCGATAAGATTAAATACAGGAAAATGAAACATTTCTTTTTCAACAAACTATTTAATAAATGATGACTTTTGACATTATGTAATTATTAACTAAATATAACCTAACATAGTATCATCCAGGAATTTGACCAGTACGCGTGCGCATTCTTAACTTAAAATAATTTATTAGACTTCAAAGTCCAAAGAGCGTTATATATTCTTACAGTAAATGATGTGTTTTATCTAAATGCTCCGTATTTAATTTTTTTATTATTCTTTTCTTTAATTAGTTAGCACTCATTAGTATTTTCTTGTTGATTTTAATTATGTACTGATATTTGTATGAGAATAACTCCCTTCGATGGCGGAATTTGTTTACGTATTTAAAATTTATGCTTATGTTTGTCGATTGACGTACTTTCTTCCAACAAGAAGTTAGCACTTATGTGTTTCTACGTTATGGATGTTTACCGAACATGATTACAGTCTGTTTGTTTTAAAAAAAAGTAAAGGCGAAAGTACAGACATATGAGCTGTATTTTCTTGAGATCTTTTTCCAAATTTAAAAACAATGTACGCAGTTGTTTGATTCTTTAAGTGATGCAACAAGTTTTTTTGGACATTTTGATTATGAGAAAATAATGTTCATAATTTACTATTAAATGATAAAAAGCAACGAAGAGTGTCGGTGTGGGTGTTAATGTGGGTAGGGAACAAAAGAAGATTCAGACTCATGACCCAGACCCACCCACATCCACACCCCACACCCACACCCCTAGTTGACGCTAAAATTCAAAAGTCCTCTAGTTTCGTCTTAATTGATTCTTCAATTTTAAACTCAACTAGTTGACTTTAAAATTGAAAAATCAACTGATTGCCTTGTAAATGCAGCTGAATTTCAAAGTTAACGCCGACATCTACATATAGCACGCGATGCAAAAGTCTTTGGACAAATGTCAAACTCTGTTATACTATATTGCTCACTTCTAAAGCAATCAAATTTTTTTTTTGTTGAAAAGAAGAAAGTCTGAACTACGAATTTTGTACTAGACTTGTTTTTCACGAACAAATCTACGAAGCAAGAGAAGCCAACAACCAAATACCTCTAGAAACTTTCTTGCAACTTCACATTCTCGCAATATCATTTTATATTTTCTGTTCATTTTTTTATATCCGAAGTGAAATGAAAACGCACGTTTAATGATGACTTTTGTAGTATAAAGAGTGCTCTTTCCAATGGTGTATTAGAAGTTAAATTTAGTCTTGGTCTATTTTAGAAAAAGCATAACTGTTTGTGAATCACACTGTATAATTTGGCCTTTCTTACTATCTGATCGTTTTACAACAATAAAGAAAGTTTTTTATATTCTTTTTTTTCTACTAAGTTTCTAGGATCTGAGGTATTTCGAATAAATAACATACAAAGAATTCAGTTCATACATAGTTCTGAAGATTGTGATTAATCTCCTTTCAAATGGATAATTCTTGAAAAAGACTGTTTTACAAAAATTTCAATTTCCCTTTTTTTTTTTATTAAAGAATCAGGAGCGGATCTTAAACAAATTTACCAAAGCTGATATCGATAGAACTTTTAATGTGCTACATATTGGTGTATTTTTTTGTTAGAATTTGTTCCATCTAGCTCAAGATAGTTGAGAAATAGAAACTTTTCAAGTTACAAAAATGTTGCAAGAAAT